ACAGATTAAATATTTTACTGATTCCTTTACCAATTGCTCTAATACAAAAACTGTTCAGATACAAACTGCTTTCTGGTGTAGCAAAATAATTTAAATTTTAAATCAGGGAAAAATTCTTACTGTTAAAGTTTACGACAGGGTAGTCATAGTGGAAGGATTTCAGTGTGTCCAGGAACATTCTGGGATGGAGTCCTGGGTGGAATGGGAAAGCAAGATTTGAATCATGAATTGGGTGGGAGTCAGATGGGGGTGAGGGGTGAGGGGAGCAGATGAATAAAAGAGCATCAGCAAAGCTGAAGGCAAAAGTGAGCATGGTAAGTTTAAATGATAGTGGTAAGAGTAGTTGAGATTGATTTGGGAAAGGCCTGGAAGATAATTTAGGGTGAAGCATATGTCATTTAAGTAAAAAAAAATACGTATTAAGTACTTCCAAAGTGCCGGACACTGTGGATGCGGTGGTGAACAAAGTTTTCTGCAGTCAAGAAACTTAAATTAGTGTTTGTGGTAGGGTGGGGCCAGGCAATAACTACATAAATATTTTTAAAAGATAATTTCAGATTATGATGAAGTTTGACTGACTTATCAGATTGTGATAAAAGAGAAAGAAACAGATTATAGTTCCCAGATCTTTAAAATTGTGTGTCCTTCTAGATAAAATTATAACAGGCATCCTCTGCATGTGTGTTTTATTCTTTTGTTAGGTTATGTTTGCATTCTTAGTATTAACTTGCATATGAATTTCTTAGTAGGAATCTTTTTTTTTTAAAGATTTTACCCATTCATTTGACAGGGAGAGACAGCCAGAGAGAGAACACAAGCAGGGTAAGTGGGAGAGAGAGAAGCAGGCTTCCCGCCGAGCAGGGAGCCCGATGCAGGGCTTGATCCCAAGACCCTGGGATCATGACTTGAGCCGAAGGCAGACGCTTAACGACTGAGCCACCCAGGCGCCCCTCTTAGTAGGAATCTTTTAAAGCCACTTGCCCATTTTGTGAACGTTGGCTCAGTTAGCACTTTATTTTATAATCCTCATAATCCCGGTTCTTGTTCAGAGTTAGCGAGACAAGACCATGCCCACATAAGTGGCGATCCATTATTGCTATGCTGGAAGTGACTGAGTGAGGGTATGTGTCAATGCCTTCCAATTGTGGATGTCTCACTTTTTCCGCAGGAAATCTCCACGTGACACATGACCACCTGACAAATGCTCTTGAGTGAAGGTACCAATATCAACTGCTGGGTTCAGATTTAGAGAAAATCTTTAGCTCTTTCTTTTTTTTTTTTTTTAAGGAAAAATGTTACAAATATTGTCATTTCATCCATTCCAGAGGGTGCACACGCCTGACTTTGGAAAGCATTACAATAGAGAGGGTCCCAGGATGGCTATTTCATTAAGGATGAGAAGGGACAGAGACTCTGGGACATGACATTTGAGCTGAAGCTCAAACAATGAGGCAGGAACAGTCATGCAAAGAAGAAGGCACAGGCAATCAGGGAGGCAGAAGCTATCTGAGTATTACGGGGATAAAGGGTTTACTATAGAATCAGATCTCACACAGATGAGGAAGGATCTTTGGAAGTAGAAGTCTGGGAGCATATTCAGGGAATTGGAGAAAAAGTCACTGATCAATCCTTCAGGAGCACTGGTACAGCTGGACAAATCAGAGCTTGTAAGAAAATCCAAGAAGCCCAACCCGTCCAGTGAGACTGCTAGGGGCCTATGGGAAGCTGTCACTTTTGTGTAACGCCTGCTTCTGTGGGTGCACTTCCAAGTATCCGCTGGAGGGTTTGGGACCATTGTTAGTCATGAGGCCAGTAGTCATCAAAGATGAAGGGAACACAGAGGAGAGCAAGGGCAAGCTGGAATCCCCTGGATACCACTGCATCCATCATTATATCTAATCAAGAGTAATGGCCATCCTCTCACTTCCGTCTTCCAAATCTCACACAAGTGCCTCTTTGGTTAATTCTGACTTAGAACCACACGGGGAAGAAGATTCCGGGAAACAGAGTTCCCAGGTTAACCAAGTTGATACAGCACAACCCAGCACGACAGGGGACAGCGTGTGCAAAGGCCATGAGAAGGAAATGAACTCAGTGTGCTTGAGAGACAGAAAGGTGAGGCTGAGGCTCAGTAAGCAAAGGGGAGGATGGAGGGAGATGGTCAGAAAAGCAGGCAGAGCCTAAAGTCATATAGGGCTTTGTAGGCCCTGGTATATTTGATTTAATTATAAATTACAGTATTTTAAGCAAAGGGGTGGTATCCTAGGCGTTGTGCTTTGAAAGGATCATTCTGGCCATCAGAATGGTAAAGAAGCAAGAGAAAAGTTGATTAAAAGAGACAGGAGGGAAAATAGGAAGCTATTATAGTCCAGGAAAGGGACAATAATGGTCTGGACTATGAGTATAAAAAGGTAGATACAGAGAACTTGTCAGGTGAGCTTTTTGCCTCATTTTTCCAACATACTTTTTTCAGTCCTGGGAACGTCTCTCTGTGTATGAGATGTGGAGCTCTCTGTTGCAAGGAAGGTACAGCAGAAGCGAGTGGTCACAGAAGGTTGGGACTGACACTGAGTACTTTCTATGCATCAGATCTATGCTGGGCCCATTCCTCACAACAATCCTGAATGAGGAAACTGGTGCATGGGGAGGTTAAACAGTATACTTGAACCAAGGTCATATAGATAATAAGTGGTGGGCTTCTGATCTTAACCCAGGTATCTCAGAATCCAGAATCTTAGCTCTTTCCACAGCATCATGTAGTCTCTCAGGTTAAGGCCCTTGCAGGGAGTCATGTCCATTGTCAGCAGCTGCTACCTGCCCAAACTTCACACCTTTCTGGCTGCCCCTCAAGTGTACCTCAAATGGACAAGGCTGATATTCTTTGTACATTTTCAACCTTCTTAGTCCACACTGCATAATATCTCCAACTTAGTTTCCTGGACCCTTAAAGAACTTATCCTATGTTTAGATCTCCACTAAAACTACTTGAGGCTTTATAATATTTAAATATATATGTACTTTCGGGGCACCTGAATGGCTCAGTGGTTGAGTGTCTGCCTTTGGCTCAGGTCATGATCCCAGGGTCCTGGAATTGAGCCCCACGTTGGGCTCCCTGCTCAGCAGAGAGCCTGCTTCTCTCTCTCCCACTCTACCTGCTTGTGCTCTCTCTCTGTCAAATAAATAAATAAACAATCTTTAAAAAAAATAAATATATATACTTTCAGAATATGGAAAAGAGGGCATCTTTTGTTTCCTGGGTATATATCTCATTGGAATAGCATTATCTTTCAGGATTAGGAAATAAATTGCATTCTATATAACTCTTCATTGTTGTCATATTTTCAATTGAAGTTTTTCTTCTGTTCCCAAAGAGCTTTTTATAGGGCTTCCATGGGCACCTGGGTGTCAGTTGGTTAAGCAGCTGCCTTCAGCTCAGGTCATTATCCCAGGGTCCTGGGATCGAGCCCCACATCAGGCTCCCCATTCAGTGGGAGTCAGCTTCTCCCTCTGCCTCTGACCCTCCTCCCTGCTTGTGCTCTCTCTGTCTCAAATAAATGAATAAAATCTTAAAAAAATAAATAAATGAATAAATAAATAAATAAATAAATAAAAATATGTCTTTCTCTTAATTATACCCTATCTCACATGGAAGAAAGTGAATAAGGACATGTAAGAATTACTGTTAAACATGTAATAGTTGAGGTACATATTCGAGACGCTAAAACATCAGTATTTGTTTTCTGATCAATGGTCTATTTATTGATACTATTGTCTTTTAGTAAAGAAAATATTTGAAAGTACAAGTTATATATGCAAAAACTGCTTTGAACTTAATTATTGCTTAGAGAGTATACAGTATATATAAGTAATGAATGATTATCATGTCATATGTGTCATAGGTACTTAGTCAAAGATGTGGTCTCTGGTTATTTGTTATGCACTTATTCACTTCACTTGTGAGACACACGGTAACTGGGTCACAGACTCTCAAACTATGGAATGCTTGGAGTTTTCAGGGGTTACATATTGAAGGAGCTAAAGAGTTTCACGATTAGACAAGATGCTGTTTGGATGGAATCACCTCTAGGCAGCATTAAAAATCACCTGCAGTGTAAGAAGTGACAAAATCTAACAAAGTAGGTGTAAGTTTAAATTCTGGCCAAAGATGTTCTCTCCTACACAATTCATGAGCCTCCTCTTCAAGAGGGTTTCCAAGCCTTGTTGAAGCTAACTGGGCACCAGCCATGTCTCCACTAACAGGATTTGCTGCTCCCTCCAGCTCTTGGTATCTTAATACCCACACTTCCTCATGAGACGTGGTGTGGTAATTGATAATCACAATACTTTACAAACTGAAACAGGTTAAATGGACAATGAAATTTATATTTACCTACAATGAGTTTTCAAAAGGCACTTGGCGGCTTTCTTGCCAGACATAGAAAACTGAGGCTTGACAGAAATGGTACTGAAGGAATTTTTGTACTGGGTGGGGAAAGGTTGGACAATAAAGCTCCTTCCTACTGTAAGATTCTATGATTCTAGGTATCCTGCACTATTTTATGAAAACAGTTGAGAATATCCTGTGTTTTAAACATTTTCTTCCTATTTGTTGGAGAGGCTGAGTTAACATCCTGTCATAAGGCAAGAATGTTGCATCACCTCTTATTCCTGTACTGACAATGGCCTGAAGATAATGAGTAAAAGAGGTTACCAGGGGTTAGACAATATGGCGTAGTCAATATAGCCAATTCCTGTTCTAAGGAGAGGGTCTGGTTGCCCTCCTACCTGTAAAAACTGCAACTGAGGAATTATTCAAAACCTAGTTCACAGTCTACTAGGCCTGGTGACAGATTCAAGGAAATAAACTGTGGCCCCCTGCCCTCAAGAAGCTGACAATCTGATTGGAGAAATAGAATAAGCATGCAAAAAAAGTATTAGAAAACAGTTAAGTGCTCACCTGTGTGATACAGACCACAAGTGAAACTGGAGTTTTAAGATAATTCAAATGTCCAGAAGGTTTTATTTAAGAGACAGGATTAAACTGAGCCAAAGACTGGGTCAAACTAGGATGAATTGGGAGAAGAAGGCATTCCTGTGGAGTACTGGGGAAAGAGTGAAGAAGAGTGGACGGACCCAGGTGAATGAGGACATGACCTGTGTAGCAGAGACAGTGAAGAACAGGCTTGATGGAAGCAAAGGTGAACAATAAGAAATACAATGGCGAGCCTGGAGAGGCAAGATGGGAGTCCCATGTCCTCAAAAACTGGATATAAGGTTCTGAAAGCCAAGTGCTAGTGTTCTTCAATGGTGGTCCCCAGAAACAACCAGCATGGGTCTCTCAGATACACTGTGAGGTCTGTAGGCAGATTCGAATACAGATGCTGGATGGCCATGGCAGCTTGGTGAGGTCCAGCGCGATTCCAAACTGCTTGGCTTCCTAGCATGTGGACAGGCTGGGGCTTGCTGACACATGCCTCAAAATATTCTCTGGAGGCTTGAATTTGTGGCCTGGGAAGTACAGGACTGCTCTTCCAGCCAGCTGTTGTGTGTGGAATGTGACTGTGTATAGGATGTGATCGTGTGAGCATTTGTCAGATGTGGGTGTTAGGATTGTGGTCTCCAGCGTGATGAAATTCAGTCGGTTAGAGGTGGAAGAAGAAAGTCAAACTATAGCCTTTAACAATTCTTAGCATTTGGATTTTAAAAGCAACTTTCTAGCTTTAATTACAATTTCACAACAATGCTTAAACTTCTCTAGTTAAAAAAAAAAAAGCTTATGTATTAAGATGCCATCCCCTTTTGGAATTATTTCAGTATAATTAAAAAGAACCTTTTTAACACAAAGCACTTTTTGGTAAAGTGGTTGCTTATGTGGTCTTCTTTTGATGAGGATGTTGAGATTTTTTAACTTTTAAAACCTTCTTGCTTTTTTGATATCTTTTCCCTTTCTTCTGCTTTTTCTTTTGGCTGACCTGTGAGGAGAAGGAAAACAAGAGTAATGTTCCTTTATCTTACCATTTTTCCTTCCTTATATTATATTTGGATTCTCCAAACTGTGTGTGTGTGTTTTTTTTTTTAATCTTCAAAAATGGTTTAAAGTTGCCTCCCTCTCAAAGGGGCTCCTTTTGATTCTCTCTACTTTACTGACTTTGAGGAGGAGGCCATTAGCCTCCTAATGGTCTTCTTTTGTCTATTCTCCTGGCTTATTACTGCCCTTACTTCAACTCTGCTTGTCCAAACTACAACCTTCTGAGGCTAGTACTATTATCATCCCACTTTTTACAGAGGAGGAGACTGGGGCTTGGAGAAGGTGGCTTGCCCAAAGAAGGTGGCTTGCCCAATGGCTGCTATATGTGGCAGAACCACTAGATCATCAGACTCCAGAAGCCAAGCTCCTGGCTTTGTCCTGGGCTACTTTTCTACCTCAGTCTCTTCACTCCCTTCACACAAACTCCAGCCACATTACTTGAGGCTCCCTGAACAGAGCAAGCTCTCATGATGCCATGCTTCTTTTTCGTGCTGTCCTTACTCTCTTGGTGAAATACTTATCCTTCAAGACCCTAATCATATGAAAAGTCTTCCTTAACACTTTCTCCCTGCCCCTCCTTCTGGCAAGGAAAAGGATTACTCCTTCTATGATCTTCAAGATTCTGGTACATATCTTTATATTTCTCACATTGTACTATGATTGTTAGCACATCTGCTACAGTAGGAAGGGACCATAGCTTATTACCTTTCCATCTTCAGTGTCTTCCTTTCAATTCAATACATATATATTTTATTGAATAAGAAAGGTAAGCTCCCTCTCCCCATGGAAAACACTTCTAGTGGGGGATATAGACAAGTGATACTATATGCAGAAATACAATTATACTTCACGGTGATGACATTATTCTAGGAACAAAGTAGAAGCACAATAATATTTTTAAAAAAATGTATCCTTAAAGAAACTACATAGATTCTTTGTCTTTGAAAGTTAATTTCTAAAAGAAAGAAAATTTTGTTTGTCCTGGTCACTGACCTGTTTTGCCCACTCTTGAATCAATTCTTTCACATCTGTTGAATCTGGGTTTAGACATGTTTGATCCCCATTCTTCATTGTTGCACTGCCAAGGAAATAGCACGAGATTTTTTTTTTTTTTTTTACTTTCAATACTTTCAATGCCTCATCTTACCCCCAGAATTTAATCCCCCAATTAGAATGTATTTGTGTCATCACAATAAGCATCTGAGACTTCCAGTCTTCCTTCCTGCCTTTTTGTCTTATTAGTGAGTGAGGGGACTTAGATAAATTTCTAGAACACACAACCCTAAATTATTTAAATTAAAAAAAAACATTATCACATGAGCATTTCCAATGTCATTAAATATTCTTTGAAAATACACATTTTTAAAAAAATTTTTTTAAAGATTTTATTTATTTGACAGAGAGAGAGAGACAGAGAGAGAGAGAGCACAAGCAGGGGGAGTGGCAGGCAGAGGGAGAGGGAGAGCAGGCTCCGGGAGAAGCAGGCTCCCTGAGGAGCAGGGAGCCCGATGTGGGGCTCCATCCCAGGACCCTGGGATCATGACCTGAGCCGAAGGCAGTTGCTTAACCAACTAGCCACCCAGGCGCCCTGAAAATACACATTTAATGGCTACATAATATTCCACTGGAAGGCTACATGAGATTTTTATCTCGTTAGTCCCTGACTATTACATTTCTAAGACATTTCTAAGACTAAAATAATTAAAGTAATATTTATTATTATAAAAAAATTAAAAATCCAATAGGTACATGCAATGAGAGAAGCTTATAGCTAAAGATAATATTAGTTCTGCTGTGGTGAAAATAGCCATTTATGTTTAAGTGAAGAATCAAAATAGAGAAGTTGTCAATATAGCTATTTTTTTTCCAGAAAATATGAAAATCAGCATGAGGTCTGCTAAACTTTTTTTTTTTAAGATTTATTTATTTGACAGAGAGACACAGCGAGGGAGGGAACACAAGCAGGGGGAGTGGGAGAGGGAGAAGCAGGCTTCCTGCAGAGCAGGGAGCCCGATATGGGACTCAATCCCAGGACCCTGGGATCATGACCTGAGCTGAAGGCAGACGTTTAACGACTGAGCCACCCAGGCGCCCCTCTGCTTAACTTTCTAATGAAATTCCTTAAAACATAAAAATTTTTTTAAGACATGATTAACAGACTGGTTGACTATTTTAAATTACTTATAGCAGACTGTCCAGGAATAATTAAAAAATTTTTTCTTTAATTTTTCTGTATAATCTGAGAGGAAGAATAGCCATTCTGTAGATAGCCTTAATTTAGATTTCAAAAGATTGAAACTAGCAATTCTAATCTTTAAAAAGGTTATTATTTTTAAGCTTTCATTTAAATTCCAGTTAACATATAGTGTAATATTAGTTTCAGGTATACCATGTAGTGATTCAACACTTCCGTATAACACCCCATGAAAGTTATTATTAAAGACACAATACTGTCATAGTTACAGTTTGATTTCAATAGCAAAAAATTGGAAATAATCTACATTTAGGCATTGCTCATATAGATTATGGTACACCCATATGATGGAATATAATTTGGCCACTAGGAATGACATTATTAGAAAAAATGATATTACAGAAGATTTACTGACATGGGGAAATGTTCATGATATAGTGTTAATGAAAAAGCAGACTATAAAAGAGTATGTAACATATAATTTTCTTTTTATGTTTATATACATTACATATGTGTGTATATATATATATGTACACAAATGCAAACGAGGGAGATTTGGAAGACTGTAGGCCAAGGAGTGACCAGTATTTGTCACTGGTGGTAGAAGTATAAATGATTTTTATTTTCTTCTTTTGAGTTATCTGCATTAAACATTTTCTACATGCTTGGTGATATATTATCCTTGGTTTTAATGTCTACTGGAAATTCCTTGTTGTTTAGAAGAAAAAAAGTAGACCACATTTATGGAGGGGCAACCATCTGAATTTTAAGTGTCTATACGGGCAAGGGTCCTAAGGGTAATATCACACATAAATTTAATGTTCCTGCCAATATGGTGCATGCATGTTGGATGAGTTTTTACTTACATGATTTCAGTTTTCTCACAATAAGAGCTTGGGGCAAATTGTTTAAGGTCCTTTAAGAATTTTGACTGGATTGTTCTTTGGCTGGTGGTGATGCAGGAACAGCGTCTATTCCTCATTGTTGGGGCTCCTAAGGGAAAGAAAAAGGGTAGAGAAAAAGGGAAAGAAAAAGAAAAAACATTGATTTAAGGCAATGTCTCAATTTAGGTGATCCGTCGAAATTATACATTTGACTTAGTCATAATTATTACTGTCATTTACTGAGTATGTTTGTTGGGGAAGGTGATAAAAAAAATAAAGTTACCACCAATTGACCTGTGAGCTGGACCTGGCCCTTGAAGACTTCTCTTCCTCTCCCCTGTCCTTACAGTGTGGGTTCCACTTGCCTTTCTGGCTCCCAGACGCTGCTTCTAGGACATAGCCTTGAGATGGTGACATGATGTTGAAAATACCCACCCTGAATACATGACTAAGGCCAGTTAGGGCCTCTTTATAAGTTTTTAAGATTTGGTGGGCAGGAGATTCCCCCCCAAATGGGGATCCATTTGTTTTGCTGCTGCTCAAGACAAGTCCATATGTAAGTTTCCTTTGCTATTATTAAAACTGCCACCTACCAACCTGGAGTCGCCTGTCTCTTTTTTTGGTCTCTCCCTGCCTTGTGAGTAAAAGGGCCAGTTTTAGATTACACCAGAAAAGCTCCTGAAAAAAGTTGTGAACCTACACTGTTAATCATTACCACAAACTTTTGAAAGAGGTATTGTCTCCATTTTACAGATAAAGAAGCTAAGGTTCAAAGAAGTTATATAAAGAACAAGGTCATTCAGCATTTAGGGGGCAGGTGCACGGTTTCAGCTCAGGTTTTTTTGAGTCCAAATGCACTGCTCTTAACTACCGTATCTTACAATCGTAGGAAAGGAGATTTTCACAGTATTTAATAAATGCCTATCACAGGTCAGACACACAGACACCGATTTATGTGTGCAATGTGGGCCACAATTTCTTAAGCAACTCCCAAAGCCATTTATTATCTGGCCTTAGTGGAATGGAGTTGGTGTTGGTTTAGACAGAAAGCTCTACTTATAATAACCAATTACAACCACCAACCTCATCCTCCCCACTGCCTTGTTTTTCGATAGTACTTCAAACTCTTAAAACCTCTTTGAAATACACTATCTTCATTCCTTAATTCCTTAATTCGTTCAACATATATTTATTCAGTGCTTACTATATGCCACACATTGTGTGATTGGTAGAAAAAACGTAACTATAAAGTCTCCATTTTACAGCTGAAACTGAAATCTAGAAAAGTTCATTAATTTGCCCAAAGGTGGTTGCAATACAGATTTGGGATCTCTCTGATTATTGGACCCTTAATTGGTTAACCACAGACATACTTATCAAGAAACAATATCAGGGTTACAAAAATAATTTAAGAGACAAACTCTTTGATCTCATTACCACTCAGTTCAGCAAACATTTACTGAACACTTACTACATGCCAGGAATTCACATACTTAGACTTAGAAGATTTATGTTTGACTTGGCAGGTCTTAGATATGAACTTTGGATAATGAACTACATCACTGAGAAGCTTTTATGAATGACTCCTATCACTTTCTGATGCATGCAATCAACTTTGTTGGGCAAATCAAGAGACTTTTATAGCAATTCACATTTCTGACTTTACTAACCTAATATAACTCAGAACCCCTTACCTTGACCTCCAATCAGAGTCAGGAAGATGATACTCAACAAAAGAGGAACACCACCTTTCTTCATAGTGGTAGAATGGAGTTCTACTGAATCACTCCTGTATTGGATTTCACGCCTCAAGATTTCTTTAGAGAACATGCTCTTGGGAATCATATTTATTTGGGAAATCCATTTCCCTCCTGAACTCTGACTGGCTGGTGTTGTTAGCTGACTTTGCTAAACTGACCACAAACCTAACTGTGCTGGGGGAAACCCTACTCTCAGATCCAAGGGAATTTCTGCATGTTTTATTTCCATTTCATATAAATGGGTAGTTTATAGTAAGGATGTGAAACCAGCATCATTGGCAGCCTTTAGCACACTCACAGCTACTCACCTGGGTGAAGAATAGGTTTTATAATGAATATAATATTATACAGTAAGGGTTGGAGATGTTGTTTCTGGATGGAAAATACTAAAGTCAGATAAATAATACATTTTTTTCCAATTTTCTTACTATTTACAAAATATTCTTCTGTATAATATATAGTTACAATTATTTTTTCTCTATTGTCTACCCAACAATCTTAAACAATGAGCATCTTAATTTCCTCAGAGACCAGGTCATTTTCTACTGTAAGCTCATTTTTTTAAAAGATTTTATTTATTTATTTGAGAGAGAGAGAAAGAGTGCATGCACACACAGGTTTGGGGACAGAGGGAGAGGGAGAAGCAGACTCCCCACTGAGCAGGGAGCCTGACATGGGCCTTGATCCCACAACCCTGGGATCATGACCCGAGCCAAAGGCAGACGCTCAACTGACTGAGCCACCCAGGAGCCCCCATTTTGTTTTTTATATCACTGCTGCTACAGTTTATTATTATTTTTTAAGTGGTTAGACTAGTTAGTATAGGGATCAGTTGAAAAAAGACAAATGGGACTATATCAAACTTAGAAATTTTTATAGATCAAAGAAAATGATAAACAGTAAAAAAGGAACTTACAGAATGGAAGAAAGTAATTTCAAATCGCCTATCTGATGAGGAGTTAATATCCCAAACATAAAAGGAACTTCTACGACACAACAACAAAAACCCTAAATAACTGGATTAAAAAGTGGGCAAAGACTTGAATAGACATTGCTCTAAACAAAATTTACAAATGGCCCATAAACACATGAAAAAATGCTCAACATCATTAATCATTAGGGAAATGCAAATCAAAACCACAGCAGATATCACCTCATACCCATCAGAATGCCACTATCAAAAAACCCAGAAAACCACAAGTGTTGTAAAGGATGTAGAGAAGTTGGAACTCTTGTACACTGTTGGTGGGAATGTAAAATGGTGCAGCCATTATGGAAAACAATATGGAGGTTCCTTAAAAAATTAAAAATGGAATTACCATTCGATCTAGCAATCCCACTTCCAGGAATATGTCCAAAGGAATCCATAGCAGGATCTTTTTTTTTTTTAATGTGTTATTTATTTATTCGTGAGAGTCAGACAGAGAGAGAGGCAGAGGCAGAGGGAGAAGCAGGCTCCCCGCCTAGCAGGGAGCCTGATGCGGGACTCGATCCTAGGACCCTGGGATCATGACCTGAGCCGAAGGCAGACACTTAACCATCTGAGCCACCCAGGCACCCCTCCATAGCAGAATCTTGAAGAGATATTTGCACACACATGTTCATTTGACATTATTCAGAATAGGTAAGAGGCACAGCAACCCTAATGTCCATTGACATTTGAATGGATAAATAAAATGTAATATATACATGCAGTAGATTATGTTCCATTTTTTTAAACATTTTTTAAAGATTTTATTTATTTATTTGAGAGAGAGTGAGAGTGAGAGAGCATGAGCACAGAGGGAGAGGGAGAAGCAGACTCCCTGCTGAGCAGAGACCCTGACACAGGGCTCAATCCTAGGACCCTGAGATCATGACCTGAGCTGAAGGCAGCTGCTTAACTGACTGAGCCACACTGGTGCCACAGATTATGTTCTCCTAAAAAAGGAAATCTTGTCACATGCTACAAAATGGAAGAACCTTGAGGATATTATGCTAAGTGAAATAAGTCAGTCACAAAGGGACAAATACTCATATGAAATATCTGAAGTCAAATCTCAGAAACTGAAAGTGGGAAGGTGGTTGCAAAGGGCTGGGGGGAAAGAGTGAGGTGAAATTAATTTTTAGTGGGTATAGGGTTTCAGTGTTAAAAGATTTAAAAGTTTTTGAGATTTGTTGTACAACAGTGTGAATATACAAAACACTACTGAACTGTACACTTCAAAATGGTTAAGATGGTAAATTTGAAGTTATGTATTTTTTTAAACCACAATAATAAAATATAAAAGGAGTAAGGGATCTGTTACATGTACTGGAGACCCAAATTAAAAGTGACTAAAACAGAAGTGTATTTCTCCCTGACAAAATCAGGTAGACTAAGGCCTATACGGTAGTTCTGCTTCATGGAAATCTCACAGGCTCCTTCTATCATTTGCTTTATTGCCACCTCTAGGTTGGTGTCTCCATGCACATGGCTGAAGGGGGCTTGCCACCATGGCCACTTTCCAAGGACAGGATGGTGGGAAAGCAGAAAAAGGGCATGTTCCTCATTTTTAGACCTATCTTGGAAGTTGCACTTATCACTTTGCAGCACCTTCTGTGGTCCAGAACTTATTCGCATGGCCACACCAAACTGCATCGGAAGTCAGGAAATGTGATGTTTATTCTGGTTGATCCACTAAGATTTGGAGGTTTCAGTATTGTGAAACAACATTTCTTTTTTGTTTTGTTTTGTTTTAATTTAAATTCCAGTTAACATACAGTGTGATATTAGTTTCCGGTGTACAGTATAGTGATTCCACTATTCCATACATCACCTGGGGCTCGTCATAAGTGCACTCCTTAGTCCCCATCACCTATTCAACCCATCCCTCACCCACCTTCCTCTGGTAACCATTAGTTTGTTCTCTCTAGTTGAGTCTGTTTCTCAGTTTGCCTCTCTCTCCGTTTTCTCCCTTTGCTCATTTGTTGTTTAAATTCCATATATGAGTGAAATCATATGGTATTTATCTTTCTCTGACTTATTTAGTTTAGCATTATATTCTCTAGTTCCATCCATGTTGTTGCAAATGGCAACATTTCATTCTTTTTTATGGCCAAATAATATTCCATAGTATACATATAGCTCATTTTCTTTATTCATCAATTGATGGACACTTGAGCTCAAGACAACATTTCTTTTTTTCCTTCAGCAAATGTATTTTTTTAAATTAACATATAATGTATTATTTGTTTCAGGGGTACAGGTCTGTGATTCATCAGTCTCACACAATTCACAGCACTTGCCATAGCACATTCCCTTCCCAGTCAGGACAACATTTCTTAACTTTTTTTTTTTGGTTACTGACTCCCATGAGATTAAATTGAATTCTAAATTAAATTAAATTTCTCCCTAAAGAGAACGATTAAATATTAATAAATAAGATTTTGTAGGATTAAACTTCAGTAGGCCACTAATCAGTGTATTATCTAAGATTTTTTAGTCTCTCCAAGGACCAGTTTTTGTCCCCTGAGAGCAATCTCCTTCCTCACCCCACTGAGAATGCATATAGGATAATGCTATAGGATAATGGGGAACATAATAGCATTTTCTGTAACATGGTGCACATTTTTGGGCCGATGCAGAATACTCTTCAAAGAAAACTGTTGTGACCTTTGATACAGCTTGTTCGCTTGGTTATGCTTAATTCTGGTAATGACTGCAGCCATGCATAGGGTGGAGCTGGGTTTAGGTCCCAGCTTTGCTACTTAACGACTGTGCAAAATACTTCTGCAAGCCTCAGTTCCCTCTGCTGATAAAACTATTACTGTCCCCACAGGTTGTTAAAATTAAAGGCAGCAATTCATAGTCAACTGCCAAGTATCACAAAGCTTGAGATCATTCTTTCTGGCAAAGAAAGGGAGATGGAATTTTCTTAGTATAAATACTAAGGTCCAGCACGGCCTGCCTTTGCCCACCTTTCCAAGCTCTTCCTGCATAACTCTGGTCCAACACCCTTTCTTCCCTCTGTTCCTCAAAGGGACACATGCCTCCTTCCCACCGCAGTTTTTGCTCACGCGCTTCCCTGCCTGGAATGCTGTGCCTGCTCTGCCTTCTTACCCTACTAGTAATCCTAACCACCTTACTATCCAGGTTGGCATTTCCCCTGGGAAGACTTTCCTGACTCCCAGACTCGGTCAGGATCCCACATCTGCTCTCGCAGCACCATGAACTGACATCGAAGGCAACGTTACCTTTGCCTGCAATCCTATGGTGCAATCTCCTTCCACCACAAGAACAGGGAAGGCTTTCGAGGATCCACGCAAGCGCACAGGACTGAGGGAAAGCGTGAGGGAACCAAGGCTCTCGGCCCGCCTCGACACTGCGCGTGCGTAGCGCTACCTGGGGGGTGGACCAGCTGACCTCCCTGGGGGCTGAGATGCGCGCACTGCGCATGTCCAGCTAGCCCGCTTCTAGAACTTTCAGTGGGGAGGCTGTAGGCACAGCTCGCGCCGCTGGTGCTGCTTCTGGGTTCTCCTGCTGTTCGTGCTGATTCGGCCAGAGGAGCACATTGGGAGAAAGGTAGTGGCTGTGCCCCTCGGGATCTCGCCTCTCTGCCCCGTCTGGCCCACAGCCTGCTGCCCCCAGAGGCTGCGTTTCTTGGGGAGGGGTGGGGGGGAACGACGCCGGGAGCGGGGCCTGTTTTGCAGTTTCCACACGAGGCTTGGGTTGACGCCGGAAGCGCTTGGTTATCGGGTCTGGGGCTGCCGGGCGAGGCTTCGGAGGGTCCTTCCACCGCAGTTTGTGGTGACTGGGAGAAGGCCCTTTGGGCAAGAGAAAAGAGGTGCTGGGGTCAGTTAGGAGCCACGGAAGGCCCATCTTGTTTATTACACAGAAGGGGCTACTTTCCTCTGCTAACAAACTGAATGGGAGGGCTCGTCTGGAGGCGCGGCTGAGTGGCCGGGACTATTCTATACGAAGCGTGCGCGGGCTGGCGTGACCTGTAGAAATAGACGAAGGCTGGGGCCGCTCCCCGCACCCCAGCGGTGCAGTCACTTGTTTCCCAGGCCGCCTTTTGGAAG